TTTCTGTTAAAATTTTCTTTTGAATGAAGAACTGTAGTCATTTATAATAATCTGAGGAGAGCCTTTTATAACCCTCCTCAAAGTTAAAACAGAAATGTAATACTTTTCCCTCATTTTCAAAACTAAATATTATCTCAAATCCTAATAAAATATTCCAAAGAAATTCTGAAATCACTAATACTGTGACGGGTCCCCTTCATTCTGCTTGTCATGAAATATGTAAGATCAAAACACATGGTAGTGTACTAACTCTTAGAGCTCTTGCAATTGGTGTTGTGTGTGCATGTGTAAAATGTGTGTGTATGTGTGGTGTGTGTGAAATGTGTGTGTATGCATGGTGTGTATGTGGGTAAAGTGTGTGTATGTGTGTAAGGTGCGCGCATGTGTGGATATTGTGCAATGTGTGTATATATGTGGTGCATGTGTATGTAATTTGTGTATATGCGTGTGCAATATGTGTGTGGTATGTATGTGTGTGATGTGTGTGTATGTGCGGTGTGCGTATGTGCAGTGTGATGTAATGTGTTGTATGTGTGGTGTACGTGTAATATGTGTATATGTGTGGTGTGTGTGTGTGTGTGTTGGTGCATGTGCACACATGTGCATGTGGAAGCCAGGAGTTGGGTGCTTTCCTTAAGTGCACTGTCTTTTCTTTTGAGATATCCTTTTTGCCCATGAGTGGGCTGTTTCAGTTAGACTGGCTGGCTAGCTCTTCTGCGTTAGGGCCCTGCCATCTTCGTTGCACTAAGGAGCTCTTTCCAGTGACAGCCTTTCCTGCTGTCATCTCTCAAGACAGACACTGTAGAGTGTCCCAAGGACACTTACCCCGTTTTTCTCAATGTCTTGGTAGGAGACTGTCCCATGCGCTCTTCTTAAAGGGTCCAGTGAGAGCGGACAGCAGGGCACGCATGACAGACTTGTAGTTTGAGACATGAGCTCTTAGCTGTTTCTGCTGCCATAAAAAGACATTTGGAACCCAGATGTGTAACCCAGATGTTCAGTCCAGATGTGCACTCCAGATGTGCAATCCAGATGGTCGGTCCAGACGTGTGTTCCAGGTGTGCAGCCCAGAATGAACATCTGGAACGCACATCTGGAACGCACATCTGGATCGCACATTTGAAAATTAAAGATCATTGTTAGAGTCAGAAGTTTGAGTACGAGGAAGCATAGCAGAGACTTCTCTAATGGTACAATTTCCTGTCTCTTCTCTAAGTAGACAGAGAACTACTTCACCATGCCATTGTAATGGCAATCTCAGGGACCAGTCATGTCCATTGTGACTAGAGTTACTGCTACACGGGGAGGAGGCAATAATGACTCTGTCTCACAAACCTAAATCCTCACAACAGGTGTGGATTGAAGGCTGGAGGCTCCCTGAAAGATTATTTGTATGATTCTTGCATGGTCAGTCAGAGTTTGTGAAGAGTCTGTTGGTTTTAGATTATTCCCCCACAATATGAAAACCAAAATTCAGACTGGCTCTGACTCCCGGGCCCTAGAAACTTCTGCAAACCACAGTAAGCCCTGCTTCCACTGTAAAACATGATAAAGTTACCTTCGCAACTATTTTCATAACAAAGACGAATGTTGATGTAGAGCCAACACGACATGCGACAAACCGGAGGAAGACACGACACTGGAGCCTGACATGGCACACCTCATGTCTCAGTAGGTCCAACACGGCCAAGTTCTCCTCAGTCCTGGAAAGGATTGCTGTTGATGCAATGGAACAGCAGATGAAGCAGCTGCTGGCTTGCCTTCAGGAGCCATGTTGTAACAAAAACGAGCCTTCTCTGAGCGCATTGCCTCCACACTCAGCCAAGAGAGACACACATTGTGCAGAAGCCACTGTGCCAAACTCGCATCTCTCGGTACTCCGGCCACAGTTTCTCCACCTGCTTACAACAGCACAGTGCGCTTCTGTACTCCCTACCTGTCTCCCGAGGACGCTGGAAGGGCAAACGCAGACCCATGTTTCAGAAAACGTTACAAAGCCCCCACCAGCAAAATAAAATCTCCCAGATTAGCGTGTCACCTCTATGCTTGCTTTACGTGGCCAACATTTACATTAATGCATATCTGTACCTAATGTCATTACAGCCCAGGACCATCTTAGAAGTAGTGAGTCTAACGCCACTGTAAAATCCTACCTGTCATAAAGCTGCTCACAGGGAGCTCACTTGTTCCCAATGTAACCCTATCAATGCTGTGCTTAAGACATTTTGATTCCTTAATGACTTGAAGAAGTCTGCTTCTTTTTAAAAAAAAAAAAATTTACATTTTACATACCAATCCCAGTCCCCCCTCCCTCCTCTCCTTCTACTCCATCCTTTCCCCTACCCCACCTCCTATCCACTCCTCAAGAGAGCTTAAGGCCTCCCCTGACAAGTCAACTAGTCTTGTCCCACCCCCTCGTTGAAGCAGGACCAAGGTCCTTCCCCCATCCCATGCCTAGGCTGAGCAAGGTATCTCTACATAAAGAATGGGCTCGACAAAGTCAGTTCATGCATTAGGGTTAGATCCTGCTCCCACTGCAGTGGCCTCACAGACTGCCCAAGCCACACCACTGTCACCTGTATTCAGGGGGCGTGGTTCAGTCCCATGCAGGTTCCCCAGTTGTCAGTCAGGAGTCAGTGATCTTCTGCAAATTTGGGTCAGCTGATTCTGTAGGTTTCCCCATCATGGTCTTGCCAGAACCTGAAAACAACCTAGATGCCCCTCAACCAAAGAATGGATACAGAAACTGTGGTTCATTTACACAATGGAGTACTACTCAGCAGAAAACAAAAACAAAAACCATGACATCTTGAAATCTGCAGGCAAATGGACGGAACTACAAAAAACCATCCTGAGTTGGGTAACCCAGACTCAGAAAAATAAAGATAGTAAGTACTCACTCATAAGTGGATACCAGACATAAAGCAAAGGATAACCAGCCTACAGTTCACAACCCCAAAGAAACTAGAACCGTTTTCTAGAAGCAGATGGAAGCAGATACCAAGATTCATCACTGTGCTGAGCTCCAGGGGAAGAGAGGGACAAGCGATAACATGAACAAATGTTTCAAGACCAAGATGTTCCCCTGATTCTTTGTAATCTTGTCTGACTGACTCCAGCAATGTCTCCTGCAGACACAAGGCAGGCTGTCCTCCATATGATACCACAGATACATGAAAGCAGCCATCATACCCCCGTCTTGTCACAAGACCAGGCCTCATGTACCATTCTGGGTACCTGCCACTGTGTATGCAAAATTTATCAGTGTCCCCATTACAGGGTCGCAGAACCCAGCCTGCCCGTAGATCAAATTCCTCTCCGGGGTAGTCTTTTCTATCCCAGGAAACGGCTGCCTATGTCTTGTAGTGAGACAGGGTAAGTAGTTCTTCACACATGTTCATTTCGTTGACACAAGACTATGTCCTAAGCATCTACTACCTTGATGCCACAAAAGGGATAAATGCAGATGATTTCTGCCCACCTGTATCTATCTGTCTCACTTTCTTAACAATTCATTTATGAAGTTTCATGTTTTGACAAAGTAAGTTTTGCCAGTGTTGTCTCTTGTGGCACATGGTGTGATGCCCGAGCTAACAAACACAATGAAAAGTTGACAAGATTTCGCCACCTTTACTTTAAAGTTTGTAATATAAAGGTTTAAATGTGAGGTTTGTTTTGAGTGTGAGCATCACTGTGTTCTCTGTGGAAATTTAGTGTTAGAAGCGTCTGTGTCTTTTTTTTATTAGCATGTATTAATTATACCAACTTCTTTCCTTCCTCCCTCCCTCCCTTTTGTCCTTCGTTCTTTCTTTTCCTCCTTTCACACAGACCCTCATGTATACCCGCGTCAGTCTTGAACTTTCTATGTCTCTGAGGATGACCATGAATTCTTGATCTACCTCAAGAAGGCGGAGGAGACCTTTTGGGTACTGGGATTACAGACTCCACACCAAGCTCAAGTAAAGGCGTTGATTGTCTCATTTCTTCATGTGCATCCAATGTCCTTGGGTCGCTTTGTCTCCTGCCACCCTGTATTATTCTTTTCCCCTATTCTCCTGCCTTTCCTGTTCTTTGTCATCTCCCCTTTAGTCTCATGCCTTTCCATTGCTTGGTAGCTTTTGCAAATGAGAGAAAACATGTTCAGACCTGACAGAATCAAATGGATGGAGCTGATGACATCATGCTGGGCTACCGAGGCCCCTAAAGGAATCCAATTTTTAACATGAACCAGCAGTCACTGTTTGGAATCTCTCCAAACCTCCTCTTCAGGACTGTACATGCATGCCATCCCTGGAATTCAAGACACTAACTTACATTTCTGGATGACAGGGAACAGACGATTGTGCTAGTTCCCAAAAATAAACAAACAACTATAGCATGGTACCCCAACTAACCTAACCCTAGTTAAATACCGAGAGCAGATCAAGGGCATTTCACCAGTAGCCCGAACAGACTGCCAATTGGAGTCCCCTGAGTTCCCACAGCTCCATGCTCCTTAGAAGACCAGTGGCTAAAAGGTTCCTTCCTCTCTTTGCAACCTGTTCCAAGTCCTCTCTGGGATTTACAGCAATAAGGATGGGCAGCAGACCCAGGCTGGGGTACACTGTGACGTCTGTTTACGGTTTTTGCTAAGAGTTGACAAGTTGAAAACTGAGGTGTTGGGAAAGCTATTCATAGTCATAGAGGAAGGACAGGGAAGGATGCTGAGCCGGCTTCTAATGAGTTCCCTTAATGTGAACGGACGTGGAAAGAACATTGAGATATATGACCAGAGTGCGTGCAAACGAGCAAGCTAGTTTTCCTGAAGGCCAAGAGGTGTGTAAGGCCACAGTGATTATGTCCATAATGAAGAGTTTATTTGTGAAACATTGTTTCGGTTCACTGCTAGTGGTGCAATCAACTCGACTTTCCCAAAAGACTTGACCTAGAAGAAACAGGCCAACACGTTAGTCAGAAATATAGCTTTATTATCATAATATTTCATAATCTAAAAACTTCCTTTTTTTCCATCCTGGGAACAGAAATATTCTAACTTCTATACAATTAACTGGCCCTGCAGAATACTGGAATACAGCATCCAAGCCAGCAACACTTACAGATAAGAATCTGTTTTAGTTTGGGGGCGGGGGAGGGATGAGAGGAAAGAACAGTTCAACAGATCCTTTCTCCTTCCAAAATAAATAATAAAATTCAATTTCTACTTTAGTGAAAACTTGAGTATGGTTTCTCAAAAACTTTGGTGATTTATTCAGAAAGCCACTGCCTCAACTCTAAGGTTGATTGCCTCAGGGGACAAAAAAAATCTGAAAATAACACATAAATGGAACTTGGCCATGGTGGAGTGAATGATCTGTTCTGTAAGCCAGTTCCCATACTTCAACAGCAGATTTATGTCTCTAGGAAGTCTACTGAACTTAGTACATTTCCTTGTATGGGGGTCAGAATCCAGTTGAAACTTAAAAGATTTTTTTTAATTTAGTAATTAGATCTCAAAGCTATTTATCTTGTGTAACGTCTACAGAGTAGATACATGATGGTGCTTTTCAAAGATGAATGTGTATCACTGTTAGAGAGGGCTGCCATTCCTTCTAGGCATGTTAAAAACAAAACCCACCAAAAATGAATTCGTTTAAATAAAATGGGAAACAAATCTGGCTACACTAGCTTCGAAACCAAGCAGTCGCTGTGGAGCACACACTACGGGACAGGGGGCCATGCAATAATACAATCACCCAGTCACATTTTCAGCGTGGAGAAAGCTAAAATGCAACCATGACATAAACGCCAATGCTAAATAACTATGGAGGGGGTTTCTTCCCCCAAATAAACGATAACCTCACCACTTCCACAACGTCAGCCTCAACAGTGATACCTACAGCTGTGTTCTTTCCCCTACTTGGCGTCCGCCTAGGCACCACACAGAAGATCCTGCCCCCAGCAGTCAGAAGTCAATGGAGACTCAGACACCAGCCTTCCCCTGAGGACGGGCTCGAAATACCGGAAAACGATGAGCTCTCCTTTTCAGTTCACTGGCATCCTAAGCCACTGCTTTAGTGTCTATGTTTTAACGGGATGCCACTCGGGTGCTTGTTGCCACAACAGTAATTCTACTAGTGTTACCTAGGTTACGGTTTTAACTGGTAAAGCAAAAGAATCCGATTCACAGAAACAAAGCTATATAGTTTTAAAGCCACCCACCACAAGCACACACTTTTTCCATGAGTATTTAAAAATAAATTATTAATATACTTGACATATATATATATTGTGTATGTTTTATATATTTATATAATCATGGACAACATTATCCCTGTTTTAGGAAGGATGTCAGCATGTGTACACTCTGGAGACCTGATGGTACTGTGCAGTTTAAGGAAAAATATGAAAATTCCCTCCAGAAGAGAATTTAAAGAGAGGAGATTCTGGAGAGTTCTTTTAAGGGGACGATACCATCTGGGAAGGATGGTGTCAAAGGTCAGATCCCACATACATCCTCTTTTTCCCTAAAATTACAATAGAATGCAGCACACCATGAACACCCTAGGTGTGTGGCTGACAGGTAGGAACGTGGACGTTAGTCCTGGAAGCTACAGGAGGTGAAGTGAGCTTCTGGGTGGGGAAAGAAGACACCAAAGAGAAAGGCATGCTCGCTCACAGTTAGCAGATAGCAAGCCAGTGGTCCTTCCGGGAAAGCAGGTGGTAGCGGAAGCTGGGCGTCCCTGCAGCACGCCCAGGGTGCTCCCGGCACACTGAATGAGCTCTCCTCGGGCACTTCAAGCACTTGGGTACCACATCAGTGATGCTGCTGACCCCAAGGGTTTTAGCAGCTATCTAGACAGAGGCTGGCAGACAGCTCTGAGGGTGTGGCGTGCTTAGCCAAAGAGGCAGGTAGGGTGTGCCCAAATAGGAACGACTATGCTCTGAAGGACCCCAGATCTGAATCAAACAAACCTAAAGGCCATCTGGCAAAGTGAGAGCTGAGGTCTAACTGAACCCTCCCGGTAAGCCACCCAGGAGATTAAAGTCTTGATTAACCAGAACTCTCAAGGGTAACCGGAACTTTTCTTATAGAGACTTTCAAATGGATCAAAGTTGTGTCTAAACACAAACAAGAACAAAAAACCTCTTATTTCACTGCTCTCACCAGATTTACACCCCCTAGCTGGGTGTGGTGGCACACACCTGCAGTCCCAGCCCTCGGGAGGCAGAGGCAGGAGGATTACTGCAAGTTCAAAGCCAGCCTGGTATATATCAAGTTCCAAGCCAGCCAGGGCTATATAACAGAACAATGCCCTGTCTCTAAACAACAACAATAATAATATATATTATTTTAAGAAGTAGAGGAACTTCACAGTCCCATTCCTTGCCTCATAATTCAGAGAGCAGCAGACATCAGAGCCCGGCATCTTGAGTGGCCCAAGTACTAATGACCACTGCATAGAAGCCCAGGTAGAAACTGGGCCAATTATTTTAGAAGTTACAAATTCATGTTTACAAGAACTAGAGGACAAAAGCGCTTCAAGTTTTGCTTTAATTATTTCTTAGTTTTTGCCTTGCTTGCACTTAAGGTAGATTGAAATACAATCTTGGTTCTCGGAGACCCCCTTTGTTAAGTTCTGGTTAATCAGGGTGTCCCTATGTGTTCCTTGCTCTGCTATGTCTTCCTATGGCAATGTGCCCCAAAGGACAACCCTGTTGGTCCCTGGAACATCATTCCCCAAGCCCCAAGGTGATGCATCTGAACCATCCACGCTCTAGATAATATTCACGATGGCTGTAGGCTTTTTCTTCGCCATTTTGGGCCTGAAGTTGCCTTTCCGGCTCAGGCCCAGATGCTCCCCCTTTTTAGCTGGTCTGAAGAATTCTCTCGGAGACTCAGCCTGTTCGTGAATGGCCTTGGCAGGCTGCATCCCGGCTCTTTCATCCTTGACTTTCTTCAGGTAGCTCCTCCCTCTTAGATGGAAATGGGCCCTCAGCTCTGGGTGGTTGCACACAGAATGTGGGTGCCCTCGGATTCTAGAAGGGTGGAGGAGAGGGACACATAGGGAGAGGCTTCTTTATCCCTTAAAAGCAGCATAACTAACCACTGCTGTCCACCATGGCGAACCATGCTCCCGCTGAAGATAAGTCACAGATACTGATATTTTAATTCCCCACGGTCCCTGTGACTGAGTGATGCTAAATCCCAGGGAGATATTACTATATTACTAACTCTACTATTAATGATGAAACAGGCACAGAAAATGTAAATGACTTCCGGAATGCTATGCAGACCTGCAGGTTGCAAACTCATATCTCATAACGCTTTAGGTGACCACCAGGAGACTCAGCAAAAGATGGTGTCGGGGACTGGAGAGATGGCTCAGTGGTTAAGAGCATTGCCTGCTCTTCCAAAGGTCCTGAGTTCAATTCCCAGCAACCACATGGTGGCTCACAACCATCTGTAATGAGATCTGGTGCCCTCTTCTGGCCTGCAGGCATACACGCAGACAGAATATTGTATACATAATAAATAAATAAATATTTAAAAAAAAGATGGTGTCAATATATTTAAAGTATGTGATTTATAGAAATAGTGCAATAGAGTAGTAATATACTATATTCACATTAAAATGTTATATATGTGATATATATGTGTGTGTGTGTGTGTGTATATATATATAAAATATTAGTAAGGAAAAGATACAGTAGCTAAGTCCTGGGAGTATCACTCCAGTGTTGCTATAGCATCACTTGCTGAGCAGCTGCTAGCTTTTTAAAAGTGTCACAGGCCTGCAGGCAAATGTCCAGGTAAGCCTTTAAAACTCCATGTGTGGACAGCTACCTTCTCAAACACAACTGGCTTGAGAAATCCACTCATCGACATCCAGTGCAATAGGAAAGCATACAGTGTAAACATGATCCCACGGCCCAAGTATAAACAAAGACATACGTACAGACATCTGGGCTTCCTATTCGATGAGATGTCTGTGAGCTGATGGGAAACAAAAGAGAGAAAACATTAGTTCACTTAAAGGCTGGGTGTGGTGCCTGTATGTGCATGTGGTGGGGGGCTAGTGAATGGAATATCCCGTGGGGGCCCACAGCATTTAGAGAAAGACACTGGATGTCTTCCTATGTTAATCTCCACCCTAGTCTCTCAAGACAGGGTCTCTCGCTGTACCTGTAGCGTATTGTTGTCACGTAGGCTGGTGGCCAGTAAGTCCCAGGGATCTGCCTGTCTCCCGAAACATCACTTCTGCAGTCCTAGGGTTACAGGCACACAGAGCCACGCTCCACTTCTTATGTCTGCCCTGGGGATCTGAACTCAAACCCCCTTGACTGCATAGCAAACACTTCATCTACCGACTCTTCTCAGCTCCTGGACAGCGTTTTAAACTCTGTCTTCTTTAAGACGCACTATTATCATTAAGAAAATCTGTAACTAGGTGGTGGCATTACCTAGGGAGCATTGCATCCAAGAACAAGAGTGTCCCAGCTTGACATACCTAGTCGGCCTCTGTGGACACCTATCTCGGTTTTCTAAGGTGTGCGTATCAGAATATTTCAAAACTTTCCAAAAAATAAAAATAAAAATGAAAACTAAAATTAAAAAAGCTCCCCAATAAATCCAGGTCAGAAAAAAAAACCATGTCTTTAAAACCCAGCACAATGGGTTATTATTTCTCAGGATCTGGTTGTATTTGCAGCTGATTCAGTACAGCTGTAGCTAGCCAGTCACAGAGTACCAACGGAGAGGAAATGAGCGTCAAATGTTATTTCCGAAATATATCATTTCTAAACTGAGAACATATGAAGACCAACCCCACAAATGTCTCCAAGGCCATCTACCATCGAGATGATGTCCGTTCCTAATAGCCCATGCAATCCAATATCTGGCTGCGCTCTGTGGCTGGGCTCAGAGTGCCTTCTTTGGCAGTACAAATAGATGATTATCATATTGTGACCCAGATATCATCATTCCGCATATGGGGAAGCCCAGGGTATTGCCAGCCCTAGGTTCCCAACCTCCCTCAAGCTGTTCTCACTAGGATGAAGCCGGGCCACATCTTTAGGCAGATTCCAAAAGGAGAACGATGGAGAAACTATGGGAGGAAGGCCTCCTTGGGATTCGGGACAGGGGGATTACGACACGTTCGATATCGGTGGAGGATTCGGTCTCACATTGTTTCAGGCCACCTCCTCAGGTTATCCTCCAGCAGTTCGTTCCTGATCCCCCTGTTCTCCTTGATGTGATCCTCTGTATGCTCTGGATATGTTTTATGACCCTTGGTTAATAAAGAAGCTCCTTTGGCCTATGGCAGGGCAGAATATAACTAGGCGGGAAAACTAAACTGAATGTCGGGAGAAAGAAGGTGGAGCCAGGGAGACACCATGTAGCTCCCAAAGGAGAAAGATGCCAGAACCTAACCAGTAAGCTACAGCCTCATGGCAATATACAGATTAATAGAAGTGGGTTAATTTAAGATATAAGACCTAGCTAGAAATACACCTGAGCTGTTGGCCAAACAGTGTTGGAATTGATATAGTTTCTATGTGATTATTCAGGTCTGAGTGACTGGGAAATGAAAGTGCAGTCTCCAATTACATCCCCTGATCCTCTCGGCGTCCAGCAGCACCCACTGACCTCCTCAGCTCTACTCCCCAAGCTATTACCTCTGTACTCCTCTGCTGCTCCCTCCCAGCCACCACCTCTCGCCTCCAATCATAACAGCCTCCTAGCATCTCTCATTCTGATGCCCTTCCACGCTGGAAGCCTCTCCATAGCTTCCCGGTGCACTGGGAATGGACTTAAACTTCCCGACACACACACACACACAGACACACACACACACACACACACAGACACACACACACACACACACACACTGTGACTGGCAACTTTGCCTCCTACCACTCAACCATGCCAAGCTCGCTCCTTCCTAGCATCATACCACAGTGTCCTTGCCTAGAGCATCCTGCTCTGACTTTCCACAGAGCTGTATTCTCACATTATCCAGGCCACGGTGCAGGGTAGAGCTCTCCTGCCCCTCGCCCCAATGCATCCCTCCAACCCGAGCACTTCACACCTTTGCAGCAGCCACCACCATGCAAGAGTGCCATTGTTGATTTGCTCACTGTCCCCACCACGTAACATAAAAAGGACCTTGCTGGTCTTGCTCATGGCATTGGCACCTCATGAGCACTGTGCCCTCAATAAATAGATGTTAAATGAATTACTGCTAGTCCTCAATTAGCAGCCTGGAGGAAACAGTACTTAAAACAAGATTATCCAAGCTGTTTCCCGATCCCCTATCTGAGTGGTTCTGAGAACGGATTTTGGCAGATGGGATATTAGGTCACTTTGCGTCTGATTTGACAGCATTTTTTTTTTTAGAGCACAAAGATAAAGTATCTGAGTAAGCATACTGTATTTTTAGAAATCAGCCAGGTGAAAGAGAACATAAATGCTCAAGGGGATTCAGGGAAAGATGCAGGATGCCAAACATTGTTTCAGAAAAAGCACCAAAGGCGAGGGGAAGGAAGTTTCCCCTGGCACAGAAGGACACAACACTAATAGTCACCTTCTAGGGGAGGCAAGCCTCTTAGCATGGTAAGAATTGCTCTTCTCTCAGGAGTGCTTCGCAGGGAAGAGGAAGAGGAGTGGATAGCGGGGGAGATGTGGGTGGGTCCACAGTGTGTCCTCTGTAACGAGGGGTGAGAGCAGGACTGGGGGGCCAATCTTCCTAGTCACTCTGGAGGAGGGACGTGGAGGTGCTAGGAGGAAGGGATGAGAAGGGGGAGATTCAGGCAGGATGGTTGCCTGTCCTGCTGTCACCGAGGAAGTAACTATTCTGGGTGACTCCAGAAGCCTGGGTCAGATGGGTGCTCTGCGACCCGCGAAACTGTGCCAAATATCTGATCCAGCGTTCTTCCTGAGCACATCCAAGTTACTGCATCTCCATGGCTGTTTTACCTTCCGTCCAGTGGTTGCGCATTAAGCCAATAGCAGCAGGCTGCTAAGCTATAGCCTGGGGGGGGATTCTGTGTTTCCCCAGACGAGGGTTCTGTCACAGCCACTAAAGGTAGTTCTTACTAAATCTCTGTTGACCTAATAAAACTCAGATTCCAAGGTTAGGGTTAAAACCTGTGAACTCAGAGAGTTAGAACAGCAACTGGCTAACTTCCTCTCTTTGCTGGTGCTCCCAGAAGCAAGCCATTCCAACTGCCACAATGCCACAGCAGTAACAATAACAACAACAACAACAAGCTAAGCTCCTCCCTGCTACTTCCTGTCAACCAGTTGCTAACTCTGCCACTCTCAGTCCAAGTTAATTGTATTTAATTAATGCATCTGCGACACATCTTTACATAGTTAACAAAAGCAACAGGAACAAATGTAACACATCTTCATATAGTTAAAGTAGTATCACACAGCATAAACAAATGTGACACCTCTTTGCCCAGTTAAAATAATATTCTATGACACTCCATAGTCGCAGAGAGTGTGGGAGAGCAGAGTTCTCTTTCTATAGTAAAGGCAGAGTTCCTCATTTTATAGGCAGATGCATATGCCTACAATGAGGGAGAGGGGGAGAGAGACAGAGAGAGAGAGAGAGAGAGAGAGAGAGAGAGAGAGAGAGAGAGAGAGAGAGAATCCATTGTAGGGTCTGTAGACTGCCCAACTTGACCCTAGAAAAGGTTGAGAAGAAACAAAGAAAAGAGGATGAGCTACGAAAACATGTGCCTAACCCCTTCTGAAATAATCCCTTGCTCTGGGTCTCCCCAAGGTCAGAGCTCCAATCCACAACAATTAGGCCGTTTCTCTCACTACAGCCTGATCATGCTAGTCACACAGCTCTCATGCCTAAATTGCTCATTACAATCTCAACTGCACTTAATAGCATTCGGATTAGCCAATGCTTCCTTAGGCTGAGCCAGCTGGCTTAAAGGAGACCACGTGGTTGAACCATAAAAGAGACAAACATAAATACTTAATTTCCTACTATGTATGAATGAGTCTGTTTGTGTACATTGTGTAAATACATATATATTTATAAAATATGTATGTGTGTATACTATGTGACTTTGCATATGTTTAATGTGTGTGTATATATCTGTGTAAGTATAAATATGTTGCATGTGTATATTTGACCAGAAGAGAAAGGAAAAATTCAACTTTTAATTACAAGATTATATTATGTGAAATAATTATTGCTATGCCTCTCAAAAGACTTGATTTTCAACCTGGGAAAACAAGCTGAGCCAAGGGCATGAGCACAGGAATATAGAAAGGAGGAGGCCTGAGTGTGTTGGAGGGGATCTGGTTTTATATTGTTTTATATTTTATTTTATTTATCTTTCCATTTTTCGAAAGTTGAACTGTCCAGCAGGCAGATCTGAGCATCCACTTGCCCTGCCTGGAGAGTGATCAGACATCCCATTGCCCTTCAGAAGGCAGGAGTCTTGATCAAGTCTCTTAACGACTCCTGGAACCCTAACACCCACAGGGACTTCTTAAGCCTCTGAAGGCCCTGGGTGACACAGTATAGCAACACCTATCACCTGCCATGGATTCTTTTTGAATAGCCACTCAAAGCAAGGTTTACCCGTGAGTATTGTTGACGAGCATCTTCCTCCCTTGTCAAGAAAGTTGAGTGTGTACGGCTGGATCTTGATTTCCTGAAATGGTAATCCTCAAAATATTGCCTTGATGAAATACCTTCTGATCTATCTGGAAACTAAGACTGGAACTTGGATATTTCCAGCTTTGTTATTTTACAAGTTAAAAATATGTTTAACAATTATCTTGGAATGGAGGTCAATGAGGAGCAGGTGAGTGTGTGCCCCAGACTTAGCTTTCTCCCTGGAGCCCTGTACCAGTCAGGCAGAGGCACGACCTGGTCCAGGACTTAACGTGACACCTAGGAAGCCCTTATGACTCCCACAGCTCCCCTCTCTTCTATCTTAGTTCCTTCTGGATCCATTCCTACTGGACTCAGGGGGCTATGGTCGGAGGATGGCTGGGCTGGACTTACCACGTGCTCGCTAGCGTCCCGGCTGAAGCCCGAGGCCTGCTGGCTTTGATAGTACTCCAACTGCTTTTCCGCCAACTCTACCCGCTGCAGCAGGTTCTCAATGAAGTCCTGGAGCCTTGCTTTCCCTTGAACCTCCTTCTCGGCAGCTGCTTCCAGGAAATGGTTGAATGTGACAACTTCTCTGTAAGGACACAACACAAAGAAACATTGGAAGTCACTCGTCCATTGCCTACTGACGGACACCGACATCAGTGGTGAGGGCCATGGCAACGACAAAAGGAATGAGATTGCGTCTTAACAGAGGGAGACAGTCACCGAATGCCGAAATAAGGGCGTACATCCGAAGGTAGGTTAACAACATTGAAACTAGGCTCAAGGTGACAAAGTGACTCGGGGTTGGGGGCGATGTTTCAGAAAGCAAAGTCAAAATCAACCTTTTAGGTGGACACACCTGAAGGAAGTCCTGAGGAAGAAGCCACAGAGACACCTGGGAATTGTAAACCAGATGTATGCAGATGGATCTAAGCCAGTGCCAGGATGTGTGTGTAGAGAAAGAGACTCAGACTCCAGACTTAGGAAAAATGGCGTGAGAGACTACAGAGCACTGAGACCCACCCCTTTATTTCCCTAGGGGATGGTAGGGGGTGTCTGGATAGGGAAGACGGAAGGTTAGCGCCAAGGCAGTAGCTCAGTCTCTAGAGTTTCCCTGGGTTTGATGCCCAGAACCATACAAACTGGGTACCATGGTGCCTGCCCATGAGCCCAGTATTTGGAAGCTGGAGGAAGGAGGACTAGAAGTTCAAGGTCATCCTCAACTACCTAGTGAGTTCAGGGCCAGCCTGGGCTACACGAGACTCTGCCTCAAAACTAAAACAAGAAAAGGCGGGAGGTGCCTACCGCATGGGGAAGAAGCTAACAGTATTTCCTTTATAGCGTCTTTGGTAATTATATACCAGACCATAAAACACGTGCTCAAGGTACCCAAGAGAACAAGGGACCTCAAGGTAAGAGCACAAAATGTTCATGATCTGGCTTCTGATTCCACAGAGTAGTTGGTCTTTTAGAAACAGCCACTTGTTGAGTTTTGGCATAGTATCATCTGCGGTCGTCTGGAAATATTAAAATGCCCCTCAGCTGTCTCACTGGGTCTCTGTGTAATCCCACACGTCTTTCACATATTTCCATCCAAACAATAAAATGTAGAACTGCAAAAGTCTAGCTGTTCTCGGAGAAGCTAGATATTAGAAGTATTCACAGGGTGGGTGAGAAGGCTGGGTGGGTAGGAGAGCTTGTAGGAGGAGCCTGCACCCTAGTTTAGTCTCCAGGACCCACAAAAAAGGAGAACCCCAGCTTCCAAAGGTTGTCCTTTGACCTTCACGCCACCATCCACACACACAGTAATAATAATGAATAAAACGTTAAAAGTAAAGCAGCATTTGTGCGACATTTAAAACAATATCCCTCTTCTTACTAAATTGTCTGGGGGGGGGGAATAGTTATTGTTTCATAAGACCTGTGGTTTGTGCTAACAGAAATACATTTTGTGCGGTGGTTAAGGCAGACATTACAAGGGTAGATCCTGAAATAGCCAACAACCAAGATTTATTGGCTGAGAAAAAGAACATGACATAATCTCACACAATAGTGAAGCCTGGTCATGGTTTTAATTTAGGTTATGGCCCTGCTGAGTTAGAACACTGTGTGAAGAAGCTATGGAAGGCCAGAGGCAAAGACAAGGGCCAGCCTTAGAGGAATTCAGTCAGGGTACAGGGGGACACAATCTCTTAAAGCACTCCTAAGTCACTTCCTGTCCTATCATTGACTTATCACTTATTTTTTTTTAAAGAAGAGTAAAGTATTATTAAATCCACGATTTTATGAAAATGTCTATTAAAAGCAAGATCTGACTCCTGAAGGGGAAAAATACCAGCTACAGTGTAAGAAATTGCCATGGAAGCTCATTTCTATGCAGAGCGATTTGCAGCCCCGGGACTCTTGATTCAGCCCCAGGACCCAAAGGCATTTTGAAACCAACACAACCGAGAAAGGCATGGGGGGGGGGGGGAGTCCTGTCTATGCAGCCAGAAATTTAATGAGGAAAAAAAAAATTGCTTACTCATGCATTTGCTCATTTATAGGACAGCCATAAACTCTGCAGCCTGAAGAACATTAGTTTTATTTATTTCTGAATTTGTTTAGTGTGTGTGTGTGCACACACATGCACAGGCATGCACACACATGCGCACAATGCACACTCTCACAAGCAGGCATGCACACGCTACAGTGCATATGTGGAGGTCAGACGACAATACACAGCAGTGAGTTCTCCCTGTCACGTGGATTCTGGGGTTCAAACTCAGGTCTCCAGGCTTGGTAACAAATCCCCTTAATTTACTGAGTCATCTCACCAACCCGCTATATTTGCGTTATTAGAGATTGAAGCCCCCAGATTACTTCTTTGGAGATGAGTTAAAGGCAGCTAACCTTGGAGAAATCAAAATGGCCTGTCATGTGATCGGCAAATTTAGAAAGTGACAGAGGTGGTGAGGAATGGCTCAGTGAGTAACATTAGCTGTGTGTGGTGGCTCCCACTTATAATGACAGCGCTGGAGAGGCGGAGACAGACAGAGGCCACTGGATCTATAAGGAATGGTTTGTCCACCATCCTAGACCAGGTAGTGAATCCAAGACCAATGAGAGACTGCCTCAAATAAAACAAGGTCGATGACACCTAAGGAAGTACACCCAAGGCTGAACACACACACACACACACACACACACACACACACACACACGGCAGGGTGGGGAGACTGACAGAGCGAACAATAATGTATTATGATATTCACAATTTGCATTCACTGAACTGCATTTCTTAAAGGAGGGGCAATGTATCACCGATTACAGCTTGGCATCAAAAACCATCTCTTATCTTTCTAACTTTCTTCATCCCAGCACCAGTCAGAGTCTCGCCTTGTGACATGCTGTTCTCTCAGTCAGAATCTCTCCCTAGTCCCCTGTCTGAACGCTCTCCCTGGAGGACCCATTCCCAGACACACCCCCAAGCATAGTGACAGATGGCTATGGACTCCCACAATAACCCTTTAGCCGGTCAGGGAACACACCACAGACCAGTCGTGGGGCTTAGCCACTTCATCATAAAATCACTGACTTGGGGGGCATTTTAGTTACTCGCCTTGCTGTGATTTTTTTTTATTTTATAAAAAAAAGTTATGAAAGCACCTTAATGCAGAAAACACTTATTTTGGCTCAGAGACTCGAGGCGCAGCTGGTCCATGGCATCCATGGTTAGGAAGCGCAGAGGGACTCCTGCTGGTCCTCAGCTCACTTTCTCCTTTCCATTCAGTTCAGGACCCCAGCCTATAGAACTCTATTGCCCACATGTAGATCTTTCCACTCATAGACCCTAATTGAGATAATCCCTCACAGATGCGCCCAGAGATTTGTTTCCATGGTGATTCTAAATCCCATAAGGCTGATCATGAAGATTAACCACCACCGTGTGGAGTCCGCGGAGGTCTAGGAGATAACAGAGACCTCACAGATCCTTAATGGCATACAAAATGTACAACCACAGCTCTAGCTGAGCATACAGCCAACAGAAAGACCCTTGGGTTCCTTTGTTCTTTTCGAGACCAGTCTTGGGCCATACGCAAAAAAAACAAACAACAGACACCTCCGAGAGGAGTAGGGTGGGATGGACAACGGGTTCCCTTCTTCAACTCTTAAAAAGTACTTTCGGCTGGCTGGCTTCCCCTTCCCAAAGGAAGCCTCGATTGCTTCATTTAAGTGTCATTTTGAGAGATGGCTCAGAGGTTAAGAGCATTGCCTGCTCTTCCTAAGGTCCTGAGTTCAATTCCCAGCAACCACATGGTGCTCACAATCATCAGTAATGAGGTCTGGTGCCCTCTTCTGGCCTGCAGGCATACTCATAGAAAGAATATTGTATACATAATAAATAAATAAATATTAAGTGTCATTTTACATGACTGATCCATGAGCCCTTTCTAGAGTATATGAAATGATAAAAATACCTCCATCTAAAAATAGCCCCACTAGTGATCACAGCACCTCAGATGGCCTGTAATGTCAGCTATGGGGCAAACTGAGAAGCAAGAGTCCCCCCTTCTAGGCACCAGGAATCGAGCTGCAAGCTCAGAAGCCAGAGCATAGCCCCGCACTCCACAGGAGTCACGCGATCGTGAAACCGGCTACTCTCTGGTTTTGTGGCCTTTTGCCCCACCTTTCTTTTTCTTTTTTTTTTCTTTATTTTTTTTTTTCTGGCTTTCAGATAAACAAGTATGTTCTTCATTAAGTTGGGGGAGATATCTCAGGGGGTAAAATGCCTGTTGCAAGCATGAGGACCTGAGCTCAGATCCCCCCCAAACCCACGTAAAAGCTGACTTGGTAGCACATCTGCAACATCAGTGCTGAGCAGAATAGAGACAGAAGAATCCCTAGAGCTCACTGGCCAGTCAGCCTAGCGGGACTGATGAGTGTTCGGGTGGAAGTTCCAACCCAGCCCCCACCACTGGAAGGTGCCTCACTCCAGACTCTGCCCCCCCCCCAAGAAAGGGCTTCTATCCAAACAATGAGTTTCAGGTTCATGGAGAGACCCTGTCTTAAAAGACAAGGTAGAGAATGCTAAAGGAAGACACCCAACATTGGCCTCTCTAGACTCACATGCACACATACAATTACATACATCCACAAAAGCATGTACCTCTCTCTCTCTCTCTCTCTCACACACACACACACACACACACACACACAATATTTTTAAGTTTTTCTAACTAGAAAATTGAATTAATTTATCGATTCTAATCAGATTAATACTACCGCTGAAATTACTCAGGCAAGGAGAGAAACGAGGAGGAAAACGGAGAGGAAGGCAGAACCTGAAGTTTTTTCCTATATTTCTAGATTGTCCCCCATGTACTACACCTAAGAAAGCCCGTTTCACGTCCTGTTCATTCTGCTTCAGTCTGTATGTCTGAAAGCAACAGAGATCACCTATAGAAACTGAATTAAGGGCTGGAGAGATGACTCAGGGGAAAAGAGCGAGGGCTGCTCTTGCAGAGGACCTGGGTTTGGCAGCCAACACCCACATGGAGGTGGACTGACAGCCACCTGCAGCTCCAGTCCTGGGGGTGGCAGGTGTCT